TGGAGTCTACCCCATCTTGACCATCATACCCACGATCAGGCGAACAATTCCCCAGAGGTACCAATCAAACGTGTGAAATGAAAACGGTCATATCCAATCAGTGGCTGCTTGCTGCTTGGACTTGGTTGGTGAGTTGGAATAGTGAGAGTGGGATTGTCTGTCGAGCGGAGGGACGTCAGAGGTGGCGATCTCTACATCTCTCTCTCTCTCTCTCTTTTCTCCGTATGTGTGTATGTGTGTGTGTGTGTGTGTCCTACTTACTCTCACACTGATGAAGAGGTTCGTTTTAGAGTAGTTTTGGCCACAACTGTCCCCATTATGGACGAATCAGGTGACAATCATTGAATAAAATGAAGCTCCCAGACACAGACGGCGTGCATGTGTGCACCAAATGGAGCCAGAACCATGGCATTGCAGACAATGGGCGTAGTGAAGTAATTCCTGCCTCAGAATGAGGGCAAGGCGACCGGGAAGAGAGACAGGGGGATGGGGTGTGGAGGTATGCTGGAGTATGTGATCGAAAGTAGTGCAAGGCAGAGAGCGAAGGACAGCAATTTCATGTGGACGCCAGAGAGGGTAGAGACGTGGACAAGCGTAGAGCCGATTCTGAAGGCGAGTTTATACAAAAAAAATAATTGTGTCTGTTGAAGAGGGAAAATAAGCCATGCAAAGGACAGAGTCGATAGGGCAGGATAACAAAAGGAGGGAGAAAATAATAGGCACCAGAAGAAGGCTGGAAGAGGGTAGAGAGCTGATGTAGCTCGTTGAAGCAGAGATGAAAGAGAACGTACAGAAAGCGAAAATCTTTGGGCTCATTCATGCATGCCTCCAGTTCACATCACTACAGTCAATCCCCAAACCACACCAAACCACACCCTCCCGCTGTGAGCCCGTTTCGCCTTGACCCCCATGCCGTACCTCTCTCTCTCTCTCTCTCCTTCTCTCTCTTCGTGCCTCCAGAATCAGGCCTGGCAAACACAAGAAGCTCTGGTAGATTTGGGCGAAAAAATATCACCCCATTTGCAGTGTCGTGACTGGGGTGTCTTGCTTCATGGTTGGGCTCATCCGTTCATCAGCCGCGAGACAAGAAGTAATCACTCGGGGGCAGAGGTAACTGGGCCAGTCGACGGCCGGTTGGATTATGGGCGAAAGGATTGGAGAAAAGGGAAGCAACGGCCAAGTCAGCGTTCGAGCAGAAGGCTCGAGGTTGTTCGGCAAGTCCACCAGGTATTGAGAGGGAAAATTAAATGATAACATTCCGCCGAGTCGTA